AAAAAAAAAAAAAAAAAAAAAAAAAGCACATTCTCCTTGTACATATGCCTATGTTTATATGTGCAGGATTGTTCTTGGAAGGTATTTAAGAATTGTTAAGGACTGATTACCTCCTTGGCGTGGCAGTTTTTACTACAGTATTTGATTTTTGTTTGTTTGTTGTTTTTTGAGAAAGGGTCTTGCCATGTGGCTCAAGCTGGCCATGAACCCAGGGGAACCTCTTGCCTCAGCCTCCCAAGTGCTGGGATTATGGGCCTGTGCCACCATGCTCAGCTTTTTTATTTTATTTTTGGTGCTGGAGAGAAAACCCAAGGCATTGTGCTGTTTTTAAAATTTTTATTCTAAAATTTAGTTTTATTTTTATGGTTTGGGGGATTGCACCCAGGGGCTCTCACATGCTAGGCAAGTACTATACCACTGGACTATATATATCCCCAGCGCTCTACTGTTTTATATTATATGGCCTGTTTGAATGTCTGTCATTACTATTTATTTATTTATTTATTTTTGGTACTGGAGATTGAACTCGGACCTTGTGCTTGCAAGGCAGGCAGCAGAACCACTGAGCTAAATCCCTGGCCCTGAATTTCTTATAATAAGAATAGCATATTTTATAATTAAAAGTGCCTTTTAAAAAAGTTAAAAGACAGTTTTCACAGTCTACGTGAAACAGATGCTGCTATGAAAACTGACTTTTTAAGCTAATGTTGCGTGCCTGTAATTCTAGTTAATCAGGAGGCTGAATCAGGAAGATCGAAAGTTCGAGGCCACTAAAGCTGAAAAAGGAGGATCATGAGTTCTAATCAAGCCTGGGCTGCATGGCAGGACACTGTCTCAAAAAACAAAAAGGGGCTAAAGATGTAGGTGGTGGGAGGCCAGTTCTGCAGAAGAGAACCCGACTATTGACCGGGATTGTAGGATCACACCCTCATCCCTGTCAGCTCAGCGCTGATCCCGATTCTGTGGCCCCGCTGCCTGGGAAGCCCTTTCCTGAGCCTTTCCCGCCGTGGGAGGCGGATGTCGGTAGGAGAGCTAGAGATGGAGACCCAAGCTCCGGAGGGCACGTGGGACTCTGATTTGTTTGGTGGTACCGAGGATCGAGCAGGACCTTCGTGCTGGGCTATGTCCCAGCCCTTTTTAATTTTTAAATTTAAATTTTAGAATTTTTAAATTTTGAGACATGGTCTCACTAGGCCTCTCAGAATTCTGGTATCACAGTGGTAGGCACCATGCCAGGCTATGTGGGATTTCTGTTTGATTTTGGGGTGGGAGCAGCTGGTTTTGGGAACCTAGAATCTTAGGCATGCCAAGTGTGTTAGGACACAACTTCCAGCCCTTATTAGATATGGTATATATATACATTTACTTTTTTTGGTTCCTGAGATCAAACCCGGGACCTTGTGTTTCTTCCAAGGCAGGCAACAGAACCACTGAGTTCAATCCCTGGCCCTGGGGTATATATTTTAAATACCCTCTAGTATATAAAGTTATCTTTGAAAGAAAGATCTATTTTTTTTCTTTCGTCATTTATTGAGCTTTTTTTGTCAGTTATCAAAAGTGACCTGTTTTCATTATGGAAATTTTAAAGAGGCAGAAAATAAACAATCACCTGTTTACTTCACCTGTAAATCTACCGTTCCTGACTGGCTGCTATTAAAGTAAACATTTTGTTCATTAGGAGTGTATTGCTGGGAACCTCATAAGCTGAATGTCCCCATGTAACCGTCCAGACTCCATAGAACCGCCCTCTTGTGGCTGCCTCATTACCCCAGAAGTATTCACTGGCCTGGCTCATTTATATTAACATTTTCTCCTGTGCCTGCTTTTGTTGTTATAGTACTGAGGTTAGAAACCAAGATCTTCACACTGAGCTCCATCCCCAGCCCTTTTTTATTTTGAGACAGGGTCTGGCTAAGTCACTAAGTAGCCCAGGCTGGCCTTGAATTCCTGGGCTCCAGGGATCTTCCTGCTTCAGCCTCCCAAGTAGCTGGGACTGTAGATGGGCATCACCACCCCCAGCTTTCTTTACTTTAATCATTGGAATCCACGCTTTTCGCTTGACCTTAGTCTTCAAAGGCATCCTGTGGACACGGGTAGGTAGTGTCGCTTGCGGGTGTGGAGTGGCGTCCTCCCAGGTGGTGACTATGGAGCTGAGTCAGCTCTTTGGCCCCCCACATGGACCGGCAGCGGTGTGGGATGGATTCCCAGCCGAGGTGTGGCCGATGAGCTCACAGGTCTCTCCCTCCTCCACTCCAGACTCCACCTCACTGCCTAGAAATCACACCTCCATCTTCAGAAAAGCTGGTCTCGGTCATGCGCCTAAGTGACCTCTCGACAGAAGATGACGACTCGGGCCGCTGTAAAATGAACCACTATGATAAGAAGATCGACAGTCTAATGAACGCGGTCGGTTGTCTCAAGTCTGAGGTGAGAAAGCCGGGAGCCAGATGGCCGCCGCCGGAGGCCGGGGACAGCCCGGGCGGGTCCGGGTCCCCCACACTGAGAAGGTCCCAGAAGTGTGCCCAGGTCAGCTCTGACAGCGGGTCCCCAGGGTGAGGTGAAGGGAGTGGGAAGCTGGGGCCTAGCACGCTGTTCACATCAATGCTGAGCCACAGCTGCCCCTGGGGAGGGCCCGGGAATGGGTTGCACACCAGGCCCGAAAGTCCAGAGTCCCCGACCAGGAAGTTGCTGGGGCTGGCCTGCAAGTACAGCTCCTGAGGGCTGTGGGGCCCCGTGTCTGTCGTCCTTCACCCGGTCCTCGGGGTCCTGGGATCCTGCAGAACCTGGGGCTGCCACCTGGCCACAGATCAATCCCCCTGTCACCTGGGCCTGGCAATCCACAGTGCAACCTAGCTGTGCCCGCCGAGGCTGTCTGTGCGCTCTCCTCACCTGCAGTGTGGAGAGGCAGGGATATCTGTTGCCCAGGAGACTACTTGTCCCTTGTCACTGAGCTGTGCCCTCAAAGCCCCTGGAGCCTGGCGTAGGCCCCTGCTGGAGGTGCCTAATCGGGGCCTAGCGGTGTGGCGTCGAGGACAGTACCCCCAGCAGCGGCCCTGCCCTCGTGCCCCTGCCAGGTCAGGATGCAGAAAGGCGAGCGGCAAATGGCCAAGAAGTTCCTAGAGGAGAGGAAGGAGGAGCTGGAGGAGGTGGCCCACGAGCTGGCCGAGACGGAGCACGAGAACTCGGTGCTGAGGCACAACATCGAGCGCATCAAGGAGGAGAAGGACTACACCATGTAAGGCCGCAGAGACGGCTCCTTCCAGCCAGTGGCCTAGCCCTGGAGTACGTGGGGCGCCCCTCGGCTTGGCGACTGTCCCCAACCTGGCTGAGTTTGGGCTGCACTCTTCAGAGAGGAAGAGCCCTGCAGTAGGCCAGGAACACCTCCAAAAAGTGACAGAGAGGAGCCCCTCGGGGTGGGGGGCAAGTTAGGCACGAGGCGTGGCGGGGAGGAAAGCTGGGTGCGGGGCCTGCCTCACGGGACAGCGTTGCCTGGGAGAGATGGGAGGCAGGCCAGAGCCACGGGCAAGGGCAGGGGTGGCACCCAGTGGCACACGGCGGTGTTTAGCAGCAACTCGGAGGTATCTGGAGCAGCAGGAACAGGGAGAAAGGCCTTAAAAGTAGGGATGTGGCGTGACCAGGCGAGGCTTGTGTGGAGAGGGCATTCCAAGGCCTGGCAGTGCAGCTCAGCGGCAGAGTGCCTGCCTGGCCTGGTTTTGTCCCAGTAGCTAGGAGGCCCCGGCACTGGCAGTGAGGTGGCTGTTGGAGATGCGCAGGGCCCGGCCAGTGTAGGGGGAGTTGGTAAGAGCCTGGGTGGTGCCTCCCCTCCCCCGCTGCTCCCTGGCTCAGGGGCCTCCCTGGGGGCATTGTGAGGCAAGCAGCCCGGAGCTCCGGCCGGAGGGCCTGCCAGGGCTCACGGAGCCCTGCCTGTGTGCCCAGACTCCAGAAGAAGCACCTGCAGCAGGAGAAGGAGTGCCTCATGTCCAAGCTGGTGGAGGCAGAAATGGATGGAGCTGCCGCCGCCAAGCAGGTCATGGCCCTGAAGGACACCATCGGGAAGCTTAAGACGGTAGGTAGGGGCAGCAGGACTGGGCCTGGGGAGGGTGAGTTGGAGGGGCGTTTGTGCAGTCATCAGGCTGACTGTGACATCCGGGCCAGGAGGGCGCTCAGCTCCTCAGCCCCTGGCCCCCACTCACTTCCTGGGCCCTGACCCTCGAAGACGAGCTTTGGCGGCCAGGGCCTCTGAGGAGACCTCATCATGGGTGGCCTGGTATCGCTGTGATTCCAGGCATGTGGTTGAGTCCTGCCAGGGCCAGCCAACAGGTGTCACTGTCCTCTCTTCCTTGAGGTCTCCCTTTCCAGACTCTCCCCTGCTGAGGGCCCCCACTTCTCTATTCTTCTCCCTTTTTTTGCTTTGTTTTGTTTCTTTGAGATGGGGTCTCATTATGCAGTTAAAACTGTCCTTGAACTCACGATATAGCCCAGACTGGCCTCAAACTCACTGCAGTCCTCCTGCCTCAGCCTCCCAAGTGCTGGAATTACAGCCCCTTTCTCCCCTTCTTGCACTGCACAGGATCAGCTCCTGCCCACCTCCCAGGGCTGCCTCCTCTGGGAAGCCCCTGACCCCCTGCCCACCTCCTCCTGCCAAGGCTTCCCCGGGCACTGGTGGCACCTGCCCCTTCTCTTCTCTGGCACTGCGTGAGCCGTGCATGTCTTCCAGGAGAAACAAATGACCTGCACGGACATTAACACGCTAACGAGGCAGAAGGAACTTCTCCTGCAAAAGCTGAGCACGTTCGAGGAGACCAACCGCACCCTCCGAGACCTGCTGCGGGAACAGCACTGCAGGGAGGTGAGCCGCCCTCCGGGGCTCCGGCCCGGTGCCCCCAGTGCCACCAGCCAGGCTGAGTGCCACGTTCAATCTACACAGGCAAGGGCCATCAGCCAGGGGTGGCAGGGCACTGTGCTTGGTTGGAGGTGGATACGAGCAGTGGGCCCAGCTCTCTGAAATGTACACCAGGGTAGCAAATGTTTCTCTAATCGATTGCTCCACTTTTTTTTTTTTTTTTTGGTACCGGGGATTGAACTCCGGTCCTTGCGCTTGCAAGGCAGGCCACCGAACCACTGAGCTAAATCCCCGGCCCTACTCCATTTTTTATTTACTTATTTTATTATTATTTTTTAATGGTACTGGGGATCAAACCCAGGCATGCTCTGCCACTGAGCTACATCCCCAGCCCTTCTCATTTTTTTCTATCTTGAGACAGGGTCTCACTAAATCACTAAGTTGATTGGGCTGGGCTCAAATTTGTCATCCTCCTGCCTCAGCCTCCCCAAGTGCTGAGATTACAGGTGTTTGCTGCCATGCCCACCTGAGACCATCAGTTTTATCCTTAAGGCCCTAGAGATTTTTAGTGAACTGTCACCAGTCTATTTTATTTTACAAATGTAGCACAGTGCATTTATCCCTTCTTCGGTCAGTGGACACATATTTTCATTTGGTTGCTGTCACAGGCAAGGCTCATTCATGCACACTTTCCTGGTGTACTTGAGAGTTTCTGGAATATTCATCTAATAATTCATCTAATATTCATCTAATAATTCATCTAATAATAAGGTGATTCTTACCTCTCTGGGCCTCATCTTCCCCACTTAAGAAATGGGCACAGTGTCTCCCACATAGGGTCGGTTGTTCAAGGAACAGAGGATGTGGTGATCCTCCCGCCTCAGCCTTCTGTGCTCACCACCACGCCTAGCTAGCTGAGGCTCTTGTCTGTGTTCTTTGTCTGTTCATCAGCTCCTCGGTCCCCAGGAAACTGGCAGCCGGGGAGCCATTTTTTCTTGATTTATGAACGGGACCTGTGGGACTGAGCGGGAGAAAGGCTGAGCCTCCTTCCTTTAAGGGACATTTTGTCTAAATGCCAGGGGGAAGAATAGGCACAGTCACAGAGAGGCAGTTCAGTGAGAAGTGGGACAGGAGGGAGCTGGCACCTGGGGGCAGAGGGAATCCAGGCAGCTGGCAGATAAGCACAGGGCTGCTGAGCCGAGATGGTGATTAGGGAGAAGCCAGGCCTCGGCTGCCTCCAGCCAGCGCTCCTGTGTCCCTGAAGGAGCACTGCAGCTGCAAATCACAGACCTCCCAGTCGGGCCATCCCTCTTTCTTACCAGCTCAGAGAGACGCTTGCTTCCTGCCTGGCGCTTTCCGTTGCCACGCACTGTGTAGTTACAAAACCTGGGCATAGCCGCTTTGCCAGGATTGTGGGGAGAAGGTGAAATTGTAATAGCAGGCTGGTGTGGTGGCACATGCCGGAAATCCCACCACTCAGGAGGATCAGCACAGTGGAGGCCAGCCTAGGCCACACAGTGAATTCAAGGCCAGCCTGAACTACATATAGCAAGACCCTGTCTAAAAAGCCAAATTAAGGGCCAGGGATGTAGCTCACTGGCGCTGCACCAGCCTGGCAAGCGCAAGGTCCTAAGTTCCATCCTTGGTACCGGAAAAAAAAAAGCCAAATTAAAAAAAAAGTAATTTGGAAAAGAAACAAATTGGTGCTATGTTTGGAATAATACCTTCTATTATATTAAGACCATGTTACTGTTACTGCTCTTTTTCTTTTTTTGGTACCAGAGATTGAACTCAGGACCTTGCACTTGCAAGGCCGGCACAGTGCAGCTGAGCTAAATCCCCAGCCCAAAACTTTTGCAACTGCTCTTTGTTTTCCCTTAAAACAGTTTTTTGGTTTGTTTTGTGTGTGTGTGTGGTACTGGGGATCAAACACAGGACTTTGAGCTTGCCAGGCAGATGGTGACACGACTGAGCTAATTCCCTGCCAAGAGCACATTACTGTTAAAAGGTTGGACAGATTCCTGAAATGGTGATGGTCATTCTTGCTTTAAGAATGTAACATCTGGCCGGGTGTGATGGCGCACGCCTGTAATCCCACCACTGGAGAGGCTGAGGCAGGAGGATCGCTGTGAGTTCGAGACCAGCCTGGGCTACATAGTGAGTTCCAGGTCAGTCTCAACTACATAGTGAGACCCTGTCTCAAAAAAAAAAAAAAAAAAAAGAATGTAACATGTGCTGCATTTAGTTCTCTTAGAACAGGAAGTACTGTTGTACCTGTCTGGTTATCGCAGATTTAGTATCTTGTTGAAAATCACAGGTATAGTAAGTGGCAGAGCCAGAATGAAAATCTAGCCTTATAGTATGGAAGTTGAATGTCCCCTAAGGGCCAGGTGCAGAATGTGGAAGGCTTGGTCCCCCTTTTGTGTGCTGTCCAGAGGAGGTGAACTTGTAAGAGGTGGGATCTAGGGGTAGGAAATCAGGTCACTTGAGGGGGTGCCTTTGAAGAAGATTCCCCCCCATGAGTTGTATGGCACCCAAATTTTATAACTCAGAAAAGCTGTGTTTAAAACATCAGTTGCGCTGGGCATGGTGGCACACGCCTGTCATCCTAACACTCAGGAGGCTGAGGCAGGAGGATCGCTGTGAGTACGAGATCAGCCTGGGCTACATAGTGAGTTCCAGGTCAGTCTCAAGTACGTAGTGAGACCCTGTCTCAAAAAACCTAAATAAATAAATAAATAAAAACATCAGTTGCAAGTACAAAGCTGGACATGGCAGGGCAGCCCTATAATCCCAGGACTTGGGAGGTTGAGGCAGGAGGATTGCCATGAGTTCAGGGCCAGCCTAGGCTACACTCTGAGTTCAAGGTCAGCCAGGCACACATACGAGACCCTGTTTCAGGAAACAAACACAAAATCAGTTGCAAGTAAAAATTTGAAAAAGTCAAGTGGTAGGCTGAGGATTTAGCTCAGTGGTGCTGCTGCCTGTCTTGAAAGCGCAAGGTCCTGAGTTCAATCCCTGGTACAAAAAAAAAAAGTCAAGTCGTGAAACTGCACGTGAGCTGCACATGCATCCCTTCCACCTCTCCCTGAAGAAAGACAGTGTTTCTCTGGGCAGGCCTGAATGTAAACCGGAAGAGAAAGGACGGGAAGGGCTCTTCTCAAAGTGTGACAGCGGGATGTCTGGAGGGGGTGGCCCCGAGAACGTTAGCTTTCTTTTCTTTCTTTCTGGTACCGGGATGGAACTCGGGACCTTGAGCTTGCAAGGCAGGCAGCGGCACCACTGAGCTAAATTCCCAGCCCTGAACGTTAGCTTTCTTGTCATTCACTGTTGAACAGTGAGAACAGACTCATTTACTGCTTTTAGACTTAGTAATGGAGTTAGTAAGGAAGGAAAAGAATCAAAGGATGCAGGATCTGGGTTTGTTGTTTACCCACGGGACTTACCCCTTCCTCCAGGACGCTGAAAGACTCATGGAGCATCAAGGAGCACTGCTGAAACGGCTAGCGGAGGCGGACTCCGAGAAAGCGGTAACACAGCGCCCCCTGCCGGCCCTTGGGGGGCCGGGCCTGAACCTGGCGGGGCTGAGAGAGGCGAGGGGTGCAGCCCCTGCTCTGGGGTTGCTTTGGGTGCTTTCGTGATCGGTAGGATGGGCTTGCCCAGTTGATCACAGGAGAGCAGCGGGAAGTAAGGATGGCGAATGTGTAACCCATCAGACTCACTGCATTTCCAGGCCTGGGGGATGGAGCCCAAGTGCAGAGTGCTGGCTTGATGTAGGGGAGGCCCTGGGTTCCATCTCCAGCACCAGAGAAAGAAGGAAACCTGGATCCCATGTTTGTATTGTAGATTCCAAACCATCAGCAAGTTCACACTTAGGCCGGGAGTGGTGGCGCGCCCCTGTAATCCCAGCACTTGGGAGGCTGAAGCAGGAAGATCTCAGTGAGTTCAGGACCACCCTGGGCTCTGTAGTGAGTTCAAGGACAGCCTGAACTATACAGTGAGACCGTGTCTCAAAAAACAAAGGAGAAAAACGTGCACACCTTTCTTCTCGGTAATTCCAAGTGTAGGAATCTCCTAAGATGATCTGTTCATGGACAATTAAGTTTTTTTGTTTTTTGTGATTCTTGGTAGTGTACAGTAGTTCAGGCTGGCATTAAGTTCCCTATGTAGCCCAGGCTAGCTTTGAACTCATGCCAATCCTGCATCAGCCTCCTGAGTGCTAGTGTTACAGGCACGCACCACCACACCTGGCTGCTTAACTCATTTTGCTGAAGATTGAAATTTTTAAAATTTTTGCCTGAAATTCATATGTGTTACCTAGAAAAACTAAAGAATTTGAAGAGAGCACGTTTCACTGTGTTCCATTGTTAAGGGCATTCCAAAAATGGGTCATTCTGCAACGAAGGGTTAAGTTCAGTTAAGATCCATTTAATGGATCCACTCTGGAAGGCTGTGGCAAGAGGATCTTCAGTTCAAACCCAGCCCGGGCAATTGAGCAATTTGAGATCCTGTCTCAAAATTTAGCAAATGAAAAAAAAGAATTTAGGAGATGTGGCTCAGCTGGAAGGCTCCACGTTCAGCACCCAGTACCATAAACAAACAAACAGGCACTTACACTGCGGCGAGAGAGTGGCGGGGCGACTGAGGAGTAATGATGACAGCGCAGAGCCTGTGGGGGTTTTTTGTTTTGTTTTGTTTTTTGAGACAGGGTCTCACTACATAGTTCAGACTGCTCTGGAACTCACTGTGTAGCCCAGGCTGGTCTTGAACTCGCAGCGATCCTCCTGCCTCAGCCTCCTGAGTGCTGGGATTATAGGAATGCCTTGCGAGCCTGCATTTTCTGATTGAGAGGCCACCTTACTTTACAATACAGCAGTGCAAAGATGTAGAGTGGGCTGGGGATTTAGTTCAGCAGTGCCAGAACCTGAGTTCAATCCCTGGTACCAAAAAAATAAGAGTAGAGTAGTGAGCCAGGGATTTAGCTCAGTGGTGCCTCTGCCTGCCTTGCAAGCACAAGGTCCTGAGTTTGATCCCTGGTACCCCCCCCCCAAAAAGCAAAATATATGTTAAATTACAAAACACATTATTTTAAATATATTTTATTTAGCTCAGTGGTTTTTGGCACGGGGGATTGAACTCAGGGCCTTTGCCCTGAGCTACATCCCCAGGTTGGGCTCAAACTTGTGATCTTTCTGCCTCAGCCTCCCAGAGTACTGGGATTACAAGTGCGCACCACCATGCGCTACATATCTTAGGGATTTTATTCTATGCTTTATTTTACTTGTTTTGCAGGGCTGGGAATCAGACCCAGGGCTTTGCTCATGCTGGGCAAGCACTGTACCACTGTGAGCTACATACATCCAGCCCTTATTTCTTTTCTTTTCTTTTCTTTTCTTTTCTTTTTTTTTTTTTTGAGACAGGGTCTCCCTATGTAGTTGAGACTGACCTGGAACTCACTGTGTAGCCCAGGCTGGTCTCGAGCTCACAGCGATCCTCCTGCCTCAGCCTCCCGAGTGCTGGGATTACAGGTGTGCACCACCCCACCTGGCGATCCAGCCCTTATTTTTGAAAAAATGTAACCCAGATGTTAGGTGCTTCCTGCTAGGGTCTCAGAGACAGGGTGCGGTGAATCTCTAAATCTTGGGCCCTGGTGGCCAGGCCTCAGTCCTCTCTTTCCTGGGCTGAGCCACTCTGCCTACCCTGGGGACGCGTGACACTGTTGTGTGTCTTCTTGCAGCGGCTGCTGTTACTGCTGCAGGACAAGGACAAGGAAGTGGAAGAGCTCCTGCAGGAAATACAGTGTGAGAAGGTGCTGTGCCACGGCTTTCTCTGTGGACACAGAGCGCAGTGGGTTTGCTGGAGCCGGGTTCAAATCCTGGCTCCGCCACTTTGTCCATCTCTCCAAAGGCCCAATCAAAGACAGCGTCCGAGCTTTCCAAGTCTATGGAGTCAATGCGTGGGCACCTGCAGGCGCAGCTCCGGTGCAAAGAGGCAGAGAACAGTCGCCTGTGCGTGCAGATCAAGGTGGCTGTGGGGCCCTGGGGCTGGGGACAGAGGCGGAGGCGGCAGGGCCTGGCCCCGGGTCCCGCCCAGGGCTTTATGAGCAGAGGCTGTGGACGGTGACAATGCAGTGGTCCGGGGTGTTTCCCGGCAGTGACCGGGTTGGATGCCATCCCCGGGGACCCAGCACTCCCCTCCGCTCAGCTGGCCCCCCGAGGCACGCCGCCGTCTCAGGTGCTGTCCGGGTCTCCTGAGGCGGCCGCTCTGCCAAGTGCCCGAGGGGGTTTCTGAGAGGACTGCAGTGGGCCCTGTCCTGCCTCCGGCTCCGCTCGCTGAGACCCGGGCAGCCCGTGGCCGACGCGTCCTCTGCCCACTCCCCGTAGAACCTGGAGCGCAGCGGGAACCAGCACAAGGCGGAGGTGGAGGCCATCATGGAGCAGCTGAAGGAACTGAAGCAGAAGGGAGACCGTGACAAGGAGTCCCTGAAGAAGGCCATCCGGGCCCAGCAGGAGCGGGCTGAGAAGAGCGAGGAGTACGCCGAGCAGCTGCACGTGCAGCTCGCAGACAAGGTGCAGGGCGGCTGGGGCGGAGGAGAAGAGGGGGAGGCAGGGTCCGCAGGGGTGCTGGTGCACGCCTGTCAGCTCAGTCCTCAGGAGGCCGAGACAGGAGGATCCCTGTCACCATGAGGCCAGCCTGGGCTGGAGACCCTGTCCCAGCTGAGGGTGTCTGTGGGACAGTTTGGCTGCGTCCGGACGCCCTAGGGACAGGGATGATGGCGCAGGACTTGGGGCTGCCATGGGTGATGCTGATGTGAGAGGGGCAGGGGTGGTTTAGGGGGAGCCCCACAGCCGCGCGCTGACCCACCGCTCTCGCCTCCCCAGGATCTTTATGTTGCTGAAGCTTTATCTACGCTGGAGTCGTGGCGGAGTCGCTATAACCAGGTTGTGAAAGACAAGGGAGACCTGGAGCTGGAAATCATCGTCCTGAACGAGTACGTCCTGGTCTGCACAGGAAGTGGGGACGGCCAGCTTCCCTGGGTCACAGCACGGCAGGGCTGCCGGGTCCTGCCGGCTTGAAGTGTGGGCGCCCTGAACTGAGCCTGGGCTTCCCCAAGGAAACAGCCCTGCTGTATTCAGTCCAGCTCAGCAGATGCACTGACACTCTGCCGTGTGCCTCCCTCGGGGAGTTCTCCATATAAGGGGAGAAAAGAGTCACTAAAGTAGAAGCACCCACGGTACTGATGAGAGAAGTTGGGGAAGGTGTGCCTGAGAAGGGGAAATCTGAGCTGGGTTTTAAAGGGTGAATAGGAGCTTGCCAGACAAGATGTTTATATCCCAGAAGAGGTATTTGGGCCCAGATGGCTACTAAGTATTTGCTGAATGGTGTACTGTGAAGTGAAGTATGGCTACTGAGAACTGAGGCTTTTTGACACATCTGAGGTCAAGTGGACAAGAGTATCTTTGAGAGACAGCGTCGGTCTCATCGGTGCTTGCTAGGACATTGCTTGTGACTGAACTGTCTGTGGCTTCTGGGAGAGGTTGGCATGGGTGAGGGTGACAGATCCAGAGGACGTTACCAGAGGCCACCTAGAGACTGGGGAGCCAGGGTTGGGGTGTGGCCCCTCCCCACAGGGAGGCCTCAGAGCCGTGGCGCTGATTCCCTGCCACTGTCACTTTGCCGCTTTCCAGTCGGGTGACAGACCTTTTGAACCAGCAGCAGACCTTGGAGGAGAAGATGCGCGAGGACCGGGACAGCCTGGTGGAGAGGGTGCACCGGCAGACGGCCGAGTACTCCGCCTTCAAGCTGGAGAATGAGCGGCTGAAGGTCCGAGGGCCCCAGGGACTGGGCAAGAAACAGGGAGGCTGAGGTGGGCAGGGACCCGCCAGGGGGCCTTTAGGAGGCTGGAGGCGGCTGTGCAAGTTTCTGTCTCTTTTTCCTTTTTCAATTTCGGGTCGAGCTGACCTCTCTGTAGCCCTGGCTGGCCTGGAACTCACAGCGATCCTCCTGCCTCAGCCTCCCAAGGGCTGGGATGACAGGCAGGTGTGCACCAGTATGCCTGGCACAAGTCAGCAGCAAAGTGAAAAGGGAAGGTGTCAGGTCGGCGAGGTCTGGGTCCAGGTCCCATCTCTGCCTCTTGCTAGCAAGGCCACGGGAGAGTTTCCCGGCTCGTGACTGCAGGACATGGAACTGGCTCTCTGCGGGGGATGAGAATAAGGAAATGGAGCCTAGGGAGGGCCCAGTGTCTTGCCAAGATTGTGCTCAGGAAGAGTTAGAGGCGGGATTTGAACCCGACTCTCTTGTAGCGCCCGACAGAGGACACAGCAGAGATAGCTTTGACCTTGGTGTTTGCTGACCTGGGCATCTGGGTTTCTGGGTTGTTTTTACCAATTTTTTGTTGTTGAGTAAGATGGATTTTAAGGAAGTTATAGGAAGAAGGAGTTGAGTCCTAGAATTTTCACAAAGTGAACGCAGTTCATCTGTCATTCTGATGGAACTTGACAGCACCCGTGACCTCTCCTGGTGGCTCATGATAACCTTGCAGAGGTGACTGCTGCCCTGATTTCCGTCGCCAGGATCATGTCTGCCTGGTTTTGAACTTTGTGGATATGTCTATTTTATTTTTTATTTTGTTGTTTCTTTAAGACAGGATCTCACATTACAGTCCAGGGTGGCCTTGAACTTATTATGTAGCCCAGGCTGGCCTTGAACTTGCAGTGACCCTCCTGCCTCAGCCTCCTGAGTGCTGGGTATTACACGTGTGCACTACCATGCCCAAAATGATATTTGTAGAAGGTTTTTGGTTTTTTTTCTGCGGTGCTGGGGATTGAACACAGGGCCTGGTGCATGCTAGGAAAATGCTCTGTCGTTCAGTGACACCTCCTAGGAACGTATCTTCCTACTTAGCATAATCATAACAGTCAAATACATGAATGATAAGTTTAGAACAGAAGGAGCTGGGGTGGGGTGTAGCTCAGTGGTAGAGCACTTGCCTAGCACGTGTGAGGCCCTGGGTTCCACCCCAGCTCCACACAGGCACACATGTGTTGCAAAGCAATAAGAGCAGTCTAATCCCATGCTTGCCGGAAAAAAAGAAAATAACTACAGAACGGTAGATATGCAGGCAGTTATAGGCACTCTGCGATATTAGTGTATCTAGGTTTCTATCCCTTCTCTTCATGGTGCTGGGGACTAGATCCAGGGTGTGTTAGGCAAGCAAACATTTTATGCCTGAGCTGCACCCCAGTCCCCCATTTTCTTCAGTGACTGTGGCTTTTGGAATACGAAGTATTATTTACTTGTGTATCTGCTCACTTGAGTCGGTCCCATTAGGAGTCAGACAAAATGCTAGTTGCTTTGTGGCTTGGAAAGGGCCTTGCCTTTGCTGGTGATTGCTTTGTGTTTTGTTTTGTTTTTGAGACAGGGTCTCACTATGTAGCCCAGTCTGGCCTCAGACTTGCAGCAGTCCTCCTGCCTCAGCCTCCTGAGTGGGCGCCACCACACCTGGCTGGTCCCCTGGAGCAGAGTGGAGGGAGGGAGGGCCAATCGATGGGGCTTTCGTGGCGGCCACTCATGAACCACCCACTCCAGGCCAGCTTCGCCCCAATGGAGGACAAGCTCAGCCAGGCTCACCTCGAGGTCCAGCAGCTAAAGGCGTCTGTGAAGAACTATGAGGGGATGATCGACAATTACAAGAGCCAGGTAGGCCTCTCACAGCTTTGCTGGGGGTGGGAGTGGGGCTCACCCAGGGGGCTCTGCCCACGACGGCCCACTGTGGTCCTGCCCCAGGTGATGAAAACCAGATTGGAGGCCGATGAAGTAGCTGCCCAGCTCGAGCGCTGTGACAAAGAGAACAAGATCCTCAAAGACGAGATGAACAAGGAGATTGAGGCGGTATTGCTCCCATCCTTGCCTTGTCCCCCTCCTCAGTCCGTCCCCGCTCCTGTGCCCTTGGCCCCTGGTTGGGATCCCATCTGCCCCTCCGCCGTCCTTGTTTTCCCCTCTCTCTTGTTCCTTCTCACGCTTTTCCTTCCCTTCCTCGTGTCCTTCCTCCTCCTTTTCTGCATCTGTTCTGTGATGCCAAGAATCAAACCCAGGGCTTCGTACATGCTAAGTGCGTGTAGTGCCATTGAACTACTCCCCTAGCTTCCATTTCCTTAAAAATGCAAGCAAATAGCCAGGCACAGTGGCGCACGCCTGTAATCCCACTTGGGAGGCTGAGGCAGGAGGATCACTGTAAGTTCAAGGCCAGCCTAAACTGTATAGTGAGACCCTGTCTCAAAAATAAAAAACAAAAATAAAATAAATAAAAATGGCAAACAATTCCCTCCTACATGGAACACTGAAGTGGACTCGGTCCACCAGTCCGCTAGGTCTCCGGCACATCCATTTCACTCTGTATGATGTCTTTATGTTTTTATATTTTGGTACTGGGGATCAAACTCCGGACCTTACACTTGCAAGGCAGGCGCAGTGTCACTGAGCTAAATCCCCGGCCCTATGGTGTCTTTATTTTGTACGACCAAAAAATATACTTCCTGTCCCTTCCCAGAGAGCTTGCTCCAGAGCTCCTTGGCCGGCCAGGCACAGGGAGGGCTCAGCATTAGCCCTGGAGACAGATGGGTCAGGTTCAGCCACCAGTTAGGGTTGTAGCCTTCGCTACTCCTCTGTCTCCTGGGTATGTACAGAGACGACCAGGCCCAGGTACTTCTTACTCTACGTCTGACCTGTGGCACTGTGGCTGCCTTCGTAAGGGCTTGGGAACTAGTCTTGACCTTAACCCTGATTTTGACTGAGTGACCTTAAGGGTACTTTAGCATTTTGTTTGTTTTGGTACCAGGAATCGAACTCAGGTCCTTGTGTTTGCGAGGCAGGCGCCAGAACCACTGAGCTAAATCCCCAGCTTTATTTCATTTTGTTTTTTGAGACAGAGTCTTGCTTTGTAGTTCAGGCTGGCTCTAAATTCACTAGCCCAGGCTAGACTCAAGCTTGCAGTGATCCAGGCTGGGGATTTAGCTCGGTGGTTCCTCTCCCTGCCTCACAAGTGCAAGGCCCTGAGTTCTATCCTGGTACGAAAAACAAAAACACCTCATAGCGGTCCTCCTGCCTCTGCCTCCCCAGTGCTAGTATTACAGGTGTGCACCACCACACCCGGCATGTTTGTTTCCAAGGCAGGGTTTCCCAGTGCAGTTCAGGCTGTCCTTGAACTCACTATGTAGCACAGGCTGGTCTCAAACTCATTAGTCCTCCTGCCTCAGCCTCCCAAGTGATGGGATTACAGGCCTGCGCCACCATGCGCAGCTCCCACTTTTATTTGATGACTACTGTACATGAATCCGAGCCTCAGAGCAAGTGTCACCCCACAGCAGCACACTTCTGCCAGCGGGTTTCCCAGGACCCTCTGGGGCAGCCCCGCCCCGCCTCCCCGGCCCTTGCCTAGTGCTCCCCTTTCCCCTGGGCAGGCGCGTCGGCAGTTCCAATCCCAGCTGGCTGACCTGCAGCAGCTGCCCGACATCCTCAAGATCACAGAGGCCAAGCTGGCCGAGTGCCAGGACCAGATGCAGGGCTATGAGAGGAAGAACATGGACCTGATGGCCATCATCTCTGACCTGCGCAGCCAGGTAAGGGACTGGCAGAAAGGGTCCCATGACCTGACCCGAGCAGGGGCCCGCTTGCCAAGATGAGCTGCACGCTCTCCGCGGGACGACCGCTTCCTTTTTCTCAACTGCCGCTTTTGGAAGGAGTGAGCTATCATCAGTGCTGTGAAATAAAAGTCTGGTGTGCCAAATGCCTCATGTTGCACGGGAGTGATTGTCGTCCTAGAAGCTGCCACTTGCTGGGGACCCTCGGGCCTAGCCCTGCGCTCCGTCGGCCTCCACCCTGCACGCACCCAGCCACCGCTGCTCCCTTCCCATCCTCCTGCTTTAACCGCTCTGCTTCCTCTTCGCAGATGCGCTGCTGAGATTCTGTCCCGCGGGGCGGAAGCCCAGGGCCACTTCTCCAGCAGTGGTCTGCCCGCCTGCTGCCCACGGTGACCCAGAAACGCTGGGCCACTCGTGTGTGGTAGGGCCTTGGGCGGGGCCCTTCCCCTCTCTCGAACTGTTTCCTTGGGGTAATTAAGGAGCCACCCTTCTTTCAGTGATTGCCTGGGGGCTTGGTGAGGTGGACTTGTCATTTCCCTATTTTATAGAAAGGAGCCTCATGCCTGGAGGGGAGAATAGTCCCCAGGTCCAGAGCTACTGCATCTTGACAGGGATTGGAACCTAAGCCTGAGTTCTTCGCCTCCACCTCCCCTGTCTTCCACCCAGAAATCTGCATTCTTAGGGCCTTTGGAGCCCTGATGCCTGAGGCTGGGCACAGCAGCCTCCTGGGGCCTTGTCCAAGTTGCCAGCTCGAAAGGATGGCTGTCCAGCCCCCAGGACGGGAGGGTGCAGTCGACGGTGCCAGCATCATCAGCCGGGACTCAGCGTGGCCTCTCCCTGAGGGGAGGAGCAAGGAAGCATCACCTGGGCTTCTCCAGCAGCCAGGCCGGCTTCTGGTGTGCGAGAGCCCCCGTCCCTGCTGTGCTCTCCACGCGTCAGACACCGGCGCCTCTCCTGGCTGTGGACCACAGGGCCAGGGAGAGGGGAGAACTCCGTCCCGATCTTCCCTGAAGGGCCATTCCTTCGTAAACCGGTCTGTGTTCCTGTCCTTCTAGATTGAACACCAGGGGGACAAGCTGGAGATGGCGAGAGAGAAACACCAGGCCTCCCAGAAGGAAAATAAACAGCTGAGTCTGAAGGTGGATGAGCTGGAGAGGTTAGAGGCACTTGGTCCCTTCTCTGTCGTCTTCCTAGGACCTGACTTTCAGCCACTTAGCTTCTTTGTGCTCAGTGTGTGGAAGTGTTTGAGGGACTTAAGGCCCCAGAAGGTGCTAGGCAGACCTCAGAGGAAGCCGCTTCCTGCAGTGGTAAGGACGCGGGGCAGGGGAGCGAGGTCTCAGCCCTGAGGGATGCTGCTGGACGCTGTGATCACGGTCAGCCTGCCTGAGGCGGCCCCTGTGCCACAGGGACACTTGGTCCACGGGAGCCAGTGGGCCTGGTGTGAAGGAAGGGCGGCGGGGCGTCTCCCTCTCCTCTTTCTCTCTGTGTGGTTCAGGCTGGCCTTGAGCTTGAATCATGAAGCTCGTCCTGCCTCAGCCTCCCGAGTGCTGGGATTATAGGCATTTGCCACCATAGCCAGCTATTTCTTTACTTATTCTCTTTTGTGCTTAATTGCTATCACCTCGAGCAATCCTTTAACTACCGTGTACCCTCAGATTCCTCATTCTTTTGGGAATAGGGTATTTTGTGAGGTTTTTCTCTTTCTTTTCTTAAATTAACTTTTTGAGACAGGGTCTCGCTATGTTGTCCAGGCTGGCCTTGAACTCACTAGTCCAGGCAGGTGGTGTCCAGCTTGTGGTGATCCTCCTACCTCGGCCTCCAAAGTTTCCTTATCTCGAGTAAGGATTGAAGTAGGGAGGAGAATTGGTCTTCAGTGAGAGGGTCCTGAAAGGGGTCTAGCGTGTTCCCTCCCGAGATGTTAGTCTATATTTGGCAGCTGGTCTGGTCTGAACCCAATTTTCTCATGACACCACGCTGGCGGACAGGTGGTCACGCCTGATGTCCCAGTGGGGCACCGCCAAAGCTGTGGCTTCCTCCGGAGCCTCTTGGGGTCCAGGAAGGACACCTGGAGCCTCTGTGGGAGCCCGGCCTGAGCTTCACACCAGCTGGTACTGCGTGGTCTCTACGAGGCTCTACCTGTGCCCAGCCCTGCTGCCCTGCACCATGTGGCTGGGTCCAGCAGCACTTGCGACACCCCTTAAATTGGAAGGGGGAGCCGTGCTTGTGGTTGAGGCAGGAGGATCACAACTTTGAGCCCAGTGTGGGCAACTTAGTGACTTAGCGAGACCCTGTCCCCAAAAAATAAAGGGCTGAGAGGTAACTGAGTGTGAAGGCCCCAGGTTCAACCCCCCGGTACTGCCAGATTATAACTGCTGGTGAAAAACCAGAAGGTGTCTGGAAGGCCAGCAGGGACAGCATGTGGACCCTGCGGTGGCCACAGGTGCCCGTGGGCTGTCTCTGGTGCGGCTGAAGTCCCTTTGCCACGGGAGGCAACAGTGAACAGCACAAGTTAAAGGAACAGGATTTGGTGACAGTCCAGGCCCAGCCAGGTCACCCTCCCTGAGGCTCAGGTCCTCTTCCTCCCTCCTCCGGCGGCCCCTCCACAGCGGCAGGCCGCTGTCCTCGCTCACTCCCTCCGTCCTCTTGCTGCTCTCCGACCAGCGCTCCAGCCTCCTGCCGGCCGCCTGCTCATCAGCACATTTCCTCAAGGCTGCAAGGAGACGGGGGCTGAGCGCGGTTCTGACTGGGCGCTTTCACCTAGGAAACTGGAGGCCACCAGTGCCCAGAATGTCGAGTTCCTGCAGGTGATCGCCAAGAGGGAGGAGGCCATCCACCTGTCCCAGCTGCGGCTGGAGGAGAAAACCCGGGAGTGCGGGTCGCTGGCCCGGCAGCTGGAGAGCGCCCTTGAAGACGCCAGGCGGCAGGTCAGTGTCTGTCCATCCTGATGCGCTCCGGGACTGGGCAACGCCAAGCTTTCTGAGCCTGTCTCCCCAGATGACGCGTGGCTAGAAGTGGCATCGGCCTCACGGCCTTGTGGGAAGAATCAGATGAGTGGGGGTGCACGTCTATAATAACCCCAGCGCTTGGGAGGCCGAGGCAGGAGGATTGTTACGAGTTCAAGGCCGGCCTGGACTACATAGCGAGACCCTGTCTCAAAAGAACAAAAACAAATGAGTAATAATTGTGCAGGACTCGGCTGTTTAGATTGCTCCACTGCAAGTCCTAGCTGGAAAGGGGAGGAAGCTGGGGCGCAGGCCTAGGCTCCACCCTTAGCTCCTGCCTGGAGCTCCCCCCGGGGAGCTCTTCCCACCCCTTTGCACAAGTGCCGGCATGCCAGGCCTCTGGGCCAGGCGGCAGAGAAGCTGCCCGCCTCTGTGCCTTCCCTTGCAGGTGGAGCAGACCAAGGAGCAGGCGCTGTCCAAGGAGCGAGCAGCCCAGAGCAAACTCCTGGACCTGGAGGCACAGCTGAGCAGGACCAAGACAGAACTAAGCCAGCTGAGGCGGAGCCGCGAGGACGTGAGTGGGGGCAGACAGAAGGACAGGCCCGGATCGCGCTTCGGTCCTCGGGACTGCAGGGCAAGGTGTTCTGTGGTTACGAATCTAACGTTTTTTTTGTCCGGTTACTTTGCCATCTCTTCAGGATGCCCCATACAGATACCTTTTTTTGGTACTAGAGACTGAACTTGGGACCTTCTGCTTGTGAGGCAGGCGGTAGAACCACTGAGCTAAATCCCTGGCTCATAGATAACCTTTCGAAATACAGCTGTAGCGGGGTGTGGAGGTACACACACATAATCCCAGCGCTCAGGAGGCCGAGCGAGAAGGATCACTGCAAGTTCAGTGCCAGCCTGGGCTACATAGTGAGTTCAGGACCATTCTGGACTACATAGTGACACCTGTCTCAAACAAGAAAAATCTCCAACTTTATAATGTTTATAGCCCACAAAATTCACTCAAATTGTACAATTCACCTGGGCCTGGGCGGTACATGTCTGTAATTACAGCACTTGGGAGGCTGAGGCAGAAAAATTGCTGTGAGTTTGAGATCAGTCTGGGCTACATAGCAGAGTACCGTGTCCAAACCCAAACCACCACCCCAAATCATGCAATTCAGTAGTTCTTTTTTTTTTGGTACTGCAGCTCAAACTTGGGACCTTGTGCTTGCCAGGCAGGCGGCAGAACCACGGAGCTAAATCCCTGGCCCCATGATATAATGGTTTTTTGGGAATGTACTCACAGAGTCATGGAATTGCCATGATAATCTAGGTTTGGAATATGTTTGAAAAAAATTCTTAAGTCTGGCATGGTAGCACACCCTCCCACCTACTCGGGAGGCTGAGCAGGACGACTGCTTAACCTAATTGTTAAAGGGCAGTTTGGGCAACACAGCGAAAATTTGTCTCTCTCTCTCTCTCTCAATGTTTTGAGACAAGAGTCTCACTGTGTCATCAAGGCTGGCCTGGAACTTACCCAGACTGGCCTTGAACTCAAGGCGATCCTCCTGCCTCAGCCTCCTGAGTGCTGGGATTACAGGTCTGCATCACCGCTTCTGACTGAGAGACCTTGTCTCCGATTTGGCAGTGCTCTGTACAGCCCATTTCTGTCCTAGGTGGATCGCCGCTATCAGAGCCGCCTGCAGGACCTGAAGGACCGCCTGGAGCAGTCGGAGAGCACCAACCGCAGCATGCAGAACTACGTCCAGTTCCTCAAGTCCTCCTACGCCAACGTGTTTGGGGACAGTCCCTACACTTCCTTCCTCACCAGCTCCCCAATCCGCTCGCGATCGCCCCCTGCATGAGCCCTGCCCAGTGCCAAGGAAGGAAGGAGTTGCCAAGCTACAGCCAGAAAGCTGTTGGCTCTACTGTCCCAGGGAGGAAGCGGTTGTCCTTAGCGGTGACTCCCAGATCGTTCTAATGTGGCAGGCGGGAGCAGGATGCAGTCGTCTCCTCCCCAGTGGTGCTGTCATCTGATGGAATTTTGTTAAGTTTTCTACCCCGTTGGGGAAGCAGATTCCAGATGCCCGTGAGTTGCCAAGACTCCCCCGAGAGTGTGTGGACTGGACTTCTCCCTCTGTTCCCACCCAGCCTCGTCTCCTTAGGAATCCGCCTAGGGATTTCTGATCTGAACCAGCAGATGCCCTGCCTGGGCTGTAGGCAGAATTCTTGCTTCTTTCTTATTTCAGGGGTACAGGTGGGCGTGGCATTCTTTTGAGGTTGGGGGCACCCTCGACACCCCTCACACCCGTTTCCTTGAGGACACTTGGTCCCCAGCATTTCACAGATGTCTTCTCAAGGCCCATTACGAGGGTAACCCCAAGCTCGCTCATTCCAGTTTTTCTTTGTATCTCTAGAACACATTTATTCTTGAAATATTTGTACGGTTTTACAAAAAGATTTATAATCAGTTATTTAAGAAGGCTCCTTTTATCCAGCCATCCCATCCCTCTTTTAAAAAATGATTAAAGTAAAATGCTACAAGAGAAAGTAAATGTTTTGAAAGTACTTGGTATGTGAACATCAGACTCTCCATTTTAGCACATATTGTTTCCTTTTTCTTTTTTTTTTTTTATGAGACAAGGTCCTTCTATGTTTTAGGCTAGTTTTGAACTCATTGTGTAGGCCTTCAATTCATGGAGATCCTCCTGCCTCAGCTTCCCAGAGCTGGGCATAAAAGGCAAGCTCCTGGCTGTTCTTTCTCCTTTTTGCACTTTTACATCATAACACTCGGAAGTCTGGAGGATACCCACTTGGTGAAGCGTTACTCAAGGTTTGGGTAGGCCACTCTGCCTATAAGGAAGAACAAGGGATGTGCTTGTGTGTGTGTTTTTTTAAGGTTAACAGGTTTCTGAATGTTGATTATGGGCCACTTTTCTGTATTTATGTTGAAGAACAGGCAAGGCAGGTTGACATACACTTTAATCCCAGCCACTCAGGAAGCTGAGGCAGGAGCATCACAAATTTGAGGGCAACCTGGGCAATTTAGGTAGACCTTGTATCAAAATAAAAACTAGGGCTGGGGATTTAGCTCAGTGGTTCTGGCACCTGCCTCGCAAGCATAAGGACCCGAGTTTGATCCCGGTACCAAAAAATAAAAACTGAAAAGAGCTGAAGATGTAGCCTAGTGATAGAATGCTCCTGGGTTTGATACCCAGTAATGAGGGGGGGGAGAAAAAAAGAATGGCTCAATGGTAAAACACTTGCCTAACAGGTGCAAGGGCCTTGCTTCCATCCCTAGGACCACAAAAAAATACAAGAAAAAGGAACAACCCAAGCACAAGGTCCTGAGTTTGATCCCCGGTACAAAAAAAAAAAAAAGAGGAATAACCACATTCGTTAGAGACAAGGACAAACCAGTGCCATAGTGAACCCAGCTGTAGCCTTTTCATTCTAGCTGGAACAGCTTTCTGTCCCTTGGCCTTGTCATCTCTCAGCCACTATAACCCAAGTCCAAAACACTTTGTCCTGGAAGGCAATTCCTAGCCCAGGGTATCTGAGTTCAAAGGCTGGAAAACTCCCTTTTAAATTTTGAGGAAATTTGTCATTTCCAGTTTTCAGTGTTTCCAATGAAAGTAACTTTTTTTTTTTGAGTCAGTGTCTCACTGTGTAGTCCAGACTGGCCTTGAATCTGTGACCCTCCTACCTCAGCCTCCTGAGTGCTGGGATTACATGTCTGTGCCATCACACTCCACCTCAAGGGAAGTAATTATAAAATTAGCTGCTGTGGCCACAGAACTGAGTCCATTTTCTTCTTGTTAGTGGATTTGATTTTGTTAGACCTTAAGACAGAACAAGTGGCAAACTTAAACCAGCAGGTGCCTACAGACATGTGTAACTCATTATCACCAAACATGTGAAAACAGTGCAGGGCGGAGCTGCCCAACACCGCTGAAGGTGTCCATCCCTAGGACACTCCCACCAGCCTCCCCCCCGTACCGGGATCAAACTCAGGCCCTTGTGCTTGCTTCTATTTTTCTTGGTAAAACCTTTTTTTAGAAAAAGTCCAACCCAATTGTGGTGCACTCAGGAGGCTGAGGAGGATCCCTGTGAGTTCGAAGCCAGCCTCGACCACATGGCTAGACACTGCCTCCAAAAAATGAAAAAAGAAAGTCCAGGAAATTTGCTTTAAAAAAAAAAAATCAGAAGGGGCTGGGGATTAACTCAGTGGTTCTGCCTCCTGCCCTGCAAGCGCAAGGTCCCGAGATCAGTCCCCAGTACCAAAAGAAAAAAAAAATCAGAAAATTAAAAATGTTCATATTGTTCATGAACATTCTCCGGAGACAACCCTTCCTGCCTCAAACAGATGCTATGAAATAAATGCTGGGCTGTAGAAGTGGCAAAAGGACCAGGCCCAGGTAATTGAGCCTCTTGTTCTATTTATTTACTGAGAAATTCAGAGACGGTAAAATGCAACCATTTAAGGTACCGAACTCAGCGTTTTTTCGTATACTCCCCAAGGTGTGCAACGATATCCGTTATCTAATATTAGGCCATCTTCATCATCCCTCCAAATAAAACCTGTATGGATTCGTGGCCTCTCCCCATTCTGTCTCCCTGTGAACCACAGTCTATAGGCTGGCCTTGAAACTCACTATGTAGCCTGGATTACAGGACAATCCTGCCTCAGCCTCCCCAGTGCTGGGATTACGGACCTGTTCCACCACACGATTCCCCTGATGTGGATATTTCACATAAATGGACTCGGACACCATGTCATCTTTGGTAGCGAAACACTATCATTTATGTTGTAACGACTACTTTTTTCTTTCTTTTTTGTGGTCCCGAGGCGCTAACACTGATCCACTCCCGAGAAGCGGGTGGGGGGTGCTTTGTTTTTGAGACAGGTCTCCCAGGTTGGCCTCGAACCATATTTGGTCGCTTGCACGTTATGACCAAGGCCGCTTTTGGCATTCTCGTCCAGGTTTCAGGGTTGGGCATGTTTCGTTTCTCTAGACTAACTCGGAGAAATGTTAACTATATTTAGCCTTTTCTATATTTAGACTGCTCCACAGCATCTGCCGCATCTCACATTCCGGCCAGCGAGCGCCCCACTTTCTCTGTACCATGGTTTGCAGCTGCCGGAGCTTCGGCACGCCCCGCCCCACTTTGCACATGCGCGCTGGATGGTGGCCGCGTCCTCGGGGGCGGGGCTTACCGCCTTTCGGGGCGGGGCTCCGCTGCGCACGCGTCCTGGAAACGGAAGAGGTGGTCTTCCCGGGCGGTGCATTCCAGTGCTGGCTCGCCTTGTTACCAGCAGCGCCTCTGAGGGGGTGGGGCAGGGCCGGCCATGCCGTCCGAGGGGCGCTACTGGGAGACCCTGGAGGCGCTGCGCAGCTCCAGCAAAGGTCGCCTCTGCTACCACCGCGACTGGCTGCAGCGGGGCGAGGTGAGCGGTGGCCTCTGGGCAGGTCAGGCCCTTCCGGCCCGGCCGGTTCCCTTTTCGAACGACGGCCCGCGTTTGTTTCCTGACTCGTGTGCGCGTTTCCTGACTCGTTTTGTGTCCTAGCGCTTCTGCCCTTTACCGGATTTCGAGGGGCTTCATTTTCACCCCAGCCGGGGTTAGGTGCCCCTCTTTCTGTTGTCACAGCAACCTTGGCCTTTCAAGGTCTGTTTTTTGTTTGTTTTGTTCTGGTTTTTGGGGGCGGCGTCTCACCCTGTAGCCCAGGCTGACCTCGAACTCCTGGTGATCTTCTTGCCTCTGCATCCCGAGTGCTGGGATTACAGGCACGCGCCCCCATGCCTGGCTTTTTTTTTTTAACCTCCCTTGTCCTTTTTTGAGAAAGGGTCTCGCAGTGTAGTTCAGGCTGGGCTTGAACCTTGGATTCACTATGTAGTCTATGCTAGCTTCGAACTCACAGCGCTCCTCCTGCCTCAGTCTTCTGAGTGCTGGGACTACAGGCCTGTGCCACCCCCCCCCCAGCCAGGGTCGGTTAATTTACTGTGCATCCCCAGTGATCAGAGCTCCAGGTTTAGCGGAGCGATTCACCGCCTGTGAAATGACCAAATGTTTAGATGGCCTTGGGCGGACCTGTTGAAGTGGGGGCGTGGCTACTGTGCCTATCTTCACAGCCCTGTACTAGAAGTGGGAGGTGTGAAGACAGTTAAGGCAGAGCCCGCCCCCCGTTCCCAAATTACTGACAATCTAGCTATAGATATATGTTGTCCTGTCTCTTCAGACTTATATGGAAAACAATTTTTAATATATTTCTCTGTCTTTGGTGTCTTCAGGAGTTTTAGCTGGGCACAGTGCTGTAAGGAAGGAGTAAAAGGCATTGTCTCAACATTGTCTCAACAGTCTTTCTTTTCCCTTTTTTTTTTTTTTTTTTTTTTTAA